ACTGATTATAGCCATGATGAAACTGTTAAACAAGTTGCTATAACAACAGCGAAAGTGCGAAGGTTACCTTATCCTGTAAGTACTATTTTTTTTTAGTTTTTAAGTTAATATTTTTTGAAATTTTGTTTATTGTTCATGGTTCAACACGGATATTATCTATAGTTTGGATAGGTTCCCATAATGGTATCTTGCGGTTGTTTTAAGCATGTGTCACATTTAATCACAATTATGCTAATTTATTGATAAGGAAGCATGTGATTTACACTTTGATCCTATATTTTATATTTGCTTTACTTTTTATAATGTAAAGAACTTATGCAAAAAATATATCCTAATAAAGTACTGGAGTTTGGGTACAAACTCCAGTACTTTATTAGGGTAATAAAGTATGGGTGCCCAAACCTGTAGACCGGTGTCAAAGTCAGTCTTGATATATCAATGATATATCAGGCCTTGTGATTTATAAAAATTGCTTAAGGTATCTGCGTAGATAGTTTTTTATGTCCTAAAAATCTTTTTATTTGCTTTTATTTATCTTCATTAATGTTTTTTGAATAACTGCAATTTACTAAATTACCGCAAAATAGTTTAGTTGCATAAATTAACTCAAAAAAATGTAGAAATTTTATTATGTAATATTATTTACCAATTTTTATTTATCTTCAAGTTTTTTAAAATATAAAAATATTTGTTTGATTTCTCAATATTTGACACAATTATGTTTTGTTTATAACTAAATGAATAAAAAAGGTTTTTTGTTTTATTTATTGTATACCTAATAATAGTTTGGCAAATAACAATTATTTTTTATTTTCAAAAAGTCACTGAGTAATAAACTAAAAACTTTAAATATTTCTATAAAAAAACCCGACCAATAGTTAATTTTTCTACCAACAATTTTATGGAAAAGTTAATTTATTTTTAACAAAATGATATGATACTTGTGTTATTAAAGTGTTATTAACACTTGTGATATTTAAACAATTTTAATGTACAAATTGTACATATTTTAACATATATGTACAAAGAATTTTATTTCTATTAAAAGTCAATATGTTTAAATGTTTAAACCATAGATAATTCTGGTGAGTAAACTTTTCTTATTGAACAACATAATAATAGTCGCTCTAAAATTTAAAATCAATCAGGTTTAACCTGAGCATTACATGGTTAAAAATGAAAAGTGTGTTTTTTATATTGGCTAGTGTATTTTAGGTGTACGTGCTTTTAATGAACACTGTGATAAAATCAGTTATCGTATAAAAACCAAACAATAAGATAAAGTCAACCTAAGTTAGTTAAAAGTAAAGTTTTTTAAAGTATTGTTTTATTGCCAGTTGTTGCCGGCAATAAAACAATACTTTAAAATTTCAATAATGCAATGTTTACTTTTATTTTCAAATGTTGTTGATCACTGATATTTGAGTAGCCAGTATTTAATATGCATATATATATATATATATATATATATATATATATATATATATATATATATATATATATATATATATACCAGTCAACGGAAATGACTAAAGTTGCTATTTTGACATCCCAAAATGAATTTTTGCCGGTCATGTTTGAGCAGTTAAAACTATTGACTGGTTGTTAATTACGGTTGTTGTTTGACCTGTTAAAAAAATTTTTTTTAACCAGTCTTTTTACTTTTTTAAAATTTTCTTCAATAGGATTCTTAAATATATATAAATATATATATTTATTAAAATCTTGTTTTATGTAGCACTAGTAATATTTGTTTCATAAAATGATTGTCTTTGTAGTATTAAATATGAAGTTTAAATAGTATCTGCACACTAGTGTTAATAATGTTATTAATAACTCATTTTAACAGTTTTTGAAATGAGGTAAAAATATATTTTATATCTCAGCTCATTAAAATCAGAGATATAAAATTACCACTTAAAATTTTTGTAACTAAGAAAATTTTGCTTTAGAAATGTACTTTTTTTTTTATCAATTTATCATTTTCAATTATTTTTTAATAGCTTTTTTTCCCATTGATGAAAAGTCATTGCAATAAATATAATATTTTTAAATAAATTCAAAATTATCAAATGCACGTTTTTTTTTTTTTTCTAATACAATGAAAAAAAAAACTTGATCAAATTAAAACTATACTAAAGTCTGAGAGGAAATCATTTTAAATGTTTATCTTTTACGTTTATAATAAATATATTCAAAGATCTCTTAGATTTTTCTAATGATTTTATATTACATGAAACTCTTTTAAATTACTTTTTTAATTAATCGTTTTTTATCAAAATGTTTATTTTAATTATCGAAGAGTATTATAAATACAACTTATTTTTTATTTAAAAAGTAGGTACTTTTTATAGTATTTTTTATTTAAAAAGTAGGTACTTTTTATAGTAAATAACTTCAATATTTTAAAATAACTTCAAAATAATTAAATGTTTTTATATATTATGAGAAATGCTTTTAAGTAATGATAAATTCCTTCTTTATTATTTATAATAAACATGTTTTATTTAAATTATCAAAGAATATTTTAACTAATTTTTATATTTATTTATTCAAGTATGTTTTCCCGTGTTTTTTTTCCAACAAAATGCATGCTAGTTAAGAAATAGTTGAAATTTTGTCAATTACTTTTTTAAGATTATTTTATTCTTTGTTTAGTAAATTAAGTTTTTTCTTTACAAAAAAAAAACAATTGCTATTTTTAATAAATATCCCTTTGTAGTAAACAAAAAAAAAATTGTTAAACTGTTTATAATTGTTTTTAAAATACGTAACTTTGAAACTTTGATCTTTTCTAAGTTTTTTTTTTTTAAGTTTTTAAGCGATTTTTATTTTTTAGTTTTTACTGTTAATATTTTTTTATTTTCTCTTTTAACAAATAATTTTTTTAATTTTAATACTGTTTTATATTTTTTAGTTTTCTCTTTCGGCTTAGTTCTTTTATTGCATTTTTAAAACACTTAAATAGTTGAAGCATTTAATCAGCTGTGCTTAAGTTACCTGAAGAAAATATATTATTTAGACAAGCCGTACACTTATATATATGTGTATATGTGTGTATATATATATATCTGTGTATATATATTATATATATATATATATATATATATATATATATATATATATATATATATATATATATATATATATGTGTGTGTGTGTGTGTGTGTGTGTGTGTGTGTGTGTGTGTGTATATGTGTGTGTGTGTGTGTGTGTATATGTGTGTGTGTCTTTGTGCGTGTATATATATATATATGCTTTGTGCGTGCATATATTTAATGTTCTAAAATAGAATATTAAATAATTAAATTAAAGAAAAAACAATTTTTGGGACTTGAAATTTCATGCCTTGTAGGCATTCATCTGCCATAAAATACAAGATCAAAAAATATATATAGCATATATGTCAACTTGTAGCACAGTTAGCATTAGTTAGGATGTTAGATTGTTTATACCTAATTAAACCTTTGATTAGGTATTTCTTTCATTTTTTTTTTCCTTTGGTTATTTGATGGTTGTGATTTTCATAAATACTTTTATACAGAGGCAATACTACTGGGGCTTTATACTGGGGCAAAGTTAAGCTGTAAAGCTCCAAAATCTAAATGTCATTAATCTATACAATCACACTGTAAATATGATTGTAAAGACTTTTTTAATATATAGCAAGTATTTAAGGTGGTCCATAAACCGTTGGGGTCTGGGAATAGATTGTCCCGTTGGCAGAGCAGCCCTTCTCTCCTCCATTATTATTTAAATAGTTGATATTAAAAAATAGAAAGCGAATATAAATTACTTTATTATTTTTGTTACTATTTCAAGAAAAAAAATTATTCTAATTCTTTGACTAAATCAACTTTTATTTGACTTAGCCGATTTCAATAATGTATTAGTCGAATTTAGAAAATATATTAGTCAGTTTAGTCGACAGTCGAAGTATTTAATAGTTGTAACAACACTAATGTATACTATACAATACTATATATATATATATATATATATATATATATATATATATATATATATATATATATATATATATATATATATATATATATATATACACATAGTATTGCGTATTAAGGTAAGCAATCTGAAGTCATACTGAAATAGCCTGCTGCTGAGGGCTTCAGTACATACATCGACTGACAAAAAGCCTGGCTCACAGTGGAGTGTTGCTACATCGACTGAGGGTTTGGGATGGGGCAGCAATCGTTTTATTCATCATTCTTCGTTATTTTTTCTTTTTCGAAAAAAACGGTACAGCTTAAGGTCAGCAGAAAAAGTGAGCAAATGCTTATCAAAACACGCTTTAGTAAATGTATATATATATATATATATATATATATATATATATATATATATATATATATATATATTATATATATATATATATATATATATATATATATATATATATATGTGTGTGTGTGTGTGTATACATATATGTATGTATGTATGTATGTATGTATGTATGTATGTATGTATGTATGTATGTATGTATGTATGTAGTTAAATATCAAATAATAAAAGTAATTTATAATTTGTTATGTGTGTTAAATAAAAAAATATGCTACCTAATACTCTCATTATTAGAGAACTATTAGAGAAAAGTTTTTTCACTATGCGAGAAGAAAAAATTATTTTCAATGAGAAAAAGATGTAAATCTTATTAAGCCATTTTATTTTTTTGAATGATATTTTCAGAAAATAAACACTTTTTTCATTTTGATTAAAAACCTGTTCTTTAATATTTATATTTTTAATGAACCTTTCTTGTACATTATTTGATTTTATAATAATACAAGCTACATAAAATATTGCAAAAATACAAAAAGTGTAATATATGAAATGTTATTCATATTAAAGTTAAGTGAAATTGTCCAAAAAATGATTTGATTGATTCCCTTATAATTTATGTGTAGTGATATATATTGATTATAAATGGAAAATTGATATATAAAGTTCTAAATAGTTGTTAAAGTAGTCAGAAAGTTTTTTTTTCAGAATTTTTTTTTCTTTATATGTTAAAATGTATGCTACAAGAAAGAAGGAGAAAAATAAATTTAAGATACATAAATTCTTTTCACAGATGGAATGATATTAAACTGATTAAAGAATATAAGCAGCTATGCAAATTATTAAAAACAGAAATATACAATGCTCGAGTTTTATTTGAAAAAAATCTAGTGTTAAGGTCTAAACTTAATCCTAAACTTCTATACAAGTATTTAAACAGTACAAATTCAATAAAAGATCCAATAAAGGCCATAAGAATGCCTAATGGTAATTTATCTCATGAACCAAATAAAATAGTGAACTGTCTAAATAAACATTTTCAGGATGCCTTCACTATTGAAGAAAAAGGAGATCTTCCATTGTTTCATCTCGAATTAAATGATGTATATAAATTTGAAGATATTGAACCAGATGATATTAGCTTTGAGTTAGTTTTATCTAAACTTAACTCACTAAAAGACAATAAATCACCTGGACCTGATAAACTTTGTTCAATAGTCCTCAAGAATTGTGCTATATTGTTTCCTTTACCCCTAACTCTTATATTTAGAGAATGGCTTAAAACCAGTTGACTACCAATACAATTCAAGTCAGCAAATGTAACACCGATACATAAAAAAGGTGACAAAACAGTGGCCAGCAATTATCTCCCTATTTCATTAACTTCTATTCCTTGTAAAATATTAGAATCTATTCTAAGAGAAAGAATTGAAAAACATCTTTACAAAAACAATTTATTAACAATCCAACAGCATGGTTTTGTAAAAGGCAAATCTTGTACCACAAATTTGCTAGAAACTCTTGACTTTATTTCCTCGTGCAACAGCAATGGTTTACCTGTTGATGTAGTAATGCTAGACTTTGCTAAAGCTTTTGATAGTGTTCCTCACAAGAGACTCTTTGCTAAATTGAATGCACATGGTATTAATGGCTTAGCTCTAAAATGGATGGAAGCTTTTCTAAGTAATAGAAGATAAAGAGTAGTTCTTGGTGAATTTGTTTCTAAGTGGGTTGAAATATTTAGTGGCGTGCCACAGGGCTCTGTTATTGAACCGTTAATGTTTATTATATACATTAATGATCTGCTAAGTAAATTAATAAATAAAACCAAATTGTTTGCTAATGATACCAAGATATTGTCCAAGGTAGCTTTAGACGAGTGTACCTCAAGTCTGCAGAGGGATTTGGATGTATCATTTAAAAGGACAGAAGACTGGCTTTTAAAGTTCAAAGTTGATAAATGCGTAGTAATGCACTATGGAGTAAACAACAAAAAGAACTCTCTATATATTAATGGCATAAAGTACCAGAATCAAACAGCGTAAAAGATCTAGGTGTAATATTTTCTAAAAATCTCAAGTGGAAAGATTAAGTTATGTCTGTAACAAATAATGCAAATAAAATGTTAGGTCGAATCAAAAAATCATTTGCAAGATTGGACTGTTATTTACTTAAATCACTCTATGTAACCTTTATTCGTCCTTTTCTAGAATTCTCAGTTCCAGTATGGTCCCCATATCAAAAAGGTGACTGTAAAATAATTGAACAAGTGCAGCGTCGAGCCACCAAACTGATTAAATCAATTAGGTGTTTCAGTTATGAAGATCGATTAAAATTTTTGAAATTGACAATTTAACTAAACGAAGAGAAAGAGGTGATATGATCCAACTATTCATAATAATGAACAATGAAGATATAACAGAGCATAACTTACAAATTATTCAAAATCATGCTAGAGGTCATTGTTTCAAATACTATAGGGAAACAACAAAAAATCTGCCAAGGCATAATTTCTTTTATAATAGATCGGCAAACCTATGGAACTCATTGCCTTTAGAACTAGTCAATTCATCGTCTGTAAACTCCTTTAAAGCAGGGTTTGACTGTTGGACGAACAACAATCGATCGAAGCGGCTGTCACAGTGTGCTTAAAAGCATGCTCACTGGTCATTCCAGTTACAGCAATAAATACTAACTAACTAATTAACTAACAAGTTATTTTTCTAATGCCTTTTATTATACTCTATTGGATTTTTTTGGATTTACATTTCAAAGTTTACACATACATTTCATTTATAAAATTTACTATTTTTAATGGCATTTTTAAATAATTAGATTATTAAAAATTATAGATATTGTTTTATTTTATAAGTGTTTTATTGAAAGAATCTGTTGTTGTTATTAAAAAATATATTTTATGGAAGGACCATAATTATGGCCAACAACATCTTTTAACACCCCCTTTTTCAAAACTTTTTCTATTTTACTACATTGAATTTTATTTTGGTTTATTAGATTTACTATTTTTAAAGTAATTTTTAAATATTTATATTGTTAAAATGTTTGTAAGTTTTTTTTTTTAATAACTGTATTATTGAGAGTATTTATGATGTCATGGAAAATAATTATTTTATGAAAGGACCATAATTATGGCCAACAACCTCCGTTAACACCCCCTTCTGATGACCAAAGAATTGAAAGTACTAGAACTAAAGTTAGAGATGAACAAGAAGGAACCACAAACTGTATATGGTATGTAAATATATTTTAAAAGTTCTATTTTAAAATTTAATCATATTTTTAAATGTATTTTTAATCACTTTTGCTTTAGTTTTTTCAATGACAAGTTTTTAATAAAAATAGTTTTAAATTATTACTTAAGCTAATTTTTATTGATTTTTTTGGTTATTTTTTATTTGTATATTTTTTGATTCAAATAAAATATTTTTGCTTATTTTTTATTTAAAATAAAATACTTTGCAAAAATTTTATTGAACTATGATTTAAAAAAATGTTTTTAGTGGCTTTGATCACACTGATGAATACATGATTTGTTGTGATAATTGTGGGTAAGCAAATAGATGGCCATTGGTTATTTTTTGTCATAATTTGAAAAACAAACAAACATTTGTATTTAGTTGTAATTATTATACTTTTTTTTCTAAAGATTTATTTTGGTTTATTTTAAAAGGATTTAGTTCAAAGCTGAATTATTAAATACTATATTTTTCGAATAAATTTTGTTATAGTTTATATATAATTGTTTTGATTTTCAGTTTTTCTTGTTGTAATTATTTTTCTTGTATGTTAAAAAAAAAAATGTAAGTATGTTCATTTTTCTCTTTACATATGTGTGTATGTGTACAAATACACACACACACAAAGTCTGGTTTCACAATTATGCTGGATGGGTCCCATAATGTCTTTTTTAAATTCAAATAAGGTATTGTTAAAGAGTTTATGCTATTTCTTTTTTATTGTTTTTGGTATAAACTTGTTTTACTGGACTGGGATTTTTTATTTTGATACTACCCTTAGAAAGATTACCATCCAACGTTTACCATTTCTCTTTAACCATATCTAATTTTTTTGCTCTTTAATCATATCTAACTTTTTTGCTCTTTGCTCATTTTTGCTCTTTAACCATATCTACCTTTTACTATATCTAACATGTATATATATATATATATATATATATATATATATATATATATATATATATATATATATATATATATATATATATATATATATATATATATATATATATATATATATATATATATATATATATATATATATATATATATATATATATATATTCATTCCTCAGAATTAGAAAAAATAAGGTTGACAGTTTATTGATGACCTTAAATTATTATATGTCGGCATAAAGTTATCACAAATTTTTAACACAAAAGTTTGACCATAACATCATAGAAACTAATTCGGCAAAAAATCGATGATCTTCAACACTTTTAGGTTGGCGTTGCTGAATGCTAACCTGTCAAATGGTAAAATTTGACCTGTCAAATGGTAAGGGTCTATGTTGGACAGTAAAAAAAAAAGTTGAATAAAATGCCATCATAATTATATGTAAAACAACTTTTTAGTTTTCTGTTCTTTTTTAGATGTTGGGAACACATTGTATGTATTGGTATCAGTGTTGTTCCAGATAAATATCATTGTCATAAATGTAATCCAAGGTTAGTTTTTACCAGGGATGCAAAGTCCGAAAAAGACTCCAGGTTTAAAAGTCACAAAATAATAATTTCTAAATATTTTTTGGTATTGAGGATCTTCAAAAATGTGAAAAGGCTTTTGGATTACTTTTAGAGAAAAAGTATAGGCTTTTAGGTTTTAGGAACAAACAAATTTTGAACCAGAGTCCTTATATATAATGGTTGTAAAGACTCAAAGACTCCTGGCTAAAAAACACTAGCTTCCAAGTAATAAAATCTCAAATTTTTTTGTAATTGCAGATCATAAGTCATTAAACATTTTTGAGTGACTTACAACTTGCAATAATCACTCAAAAATATTGAATGATTCATTGAGTAACAACATTTTCTTTAAACCTATATTTTTCTTGACCAAAGGTCAAGAAAAATATAGGTTTAAAGCCAGAGTCCTTTTGGGACTCCACATCCCTGGTTTTTGCACTAAAAATAGCTGTAGGGTGTCTATTTTTTTCATTTTTAATGTGAAAATAGTTATGGAGAACTAATGCAAGGTTAATTAAAACCGTTTAAACTGATTTTATTTATTTTATCCTTAGTATTAAGGTTTTTTTTTTTTTTAATGCTTTTATACCATGTGTTACAATGAAAGTTTATCAACTTGATTAGAAAAATAATTTATCTTTAAAAAAGATTTTTTGTTATCTTTTAGCAGATTTTAAATGTATGTTATTGTACCATTGATTTTTAGATTATTTTTTTTTTATTGTTTTCAAAATAGTGAATATTTATTTATGATTTTAAAAAAATATTTTTTGAGGAATAATGATTTTGTTTTTTAATATTTTTAATCAAGAAAAAATTTGTTTAGGGAATTTGAAATTGAAAAAGCAAAAGCTATACAGGAAGCAAAAAGAAAAAATATGTCAAGTGAGAATTTTGTTAGAGTATACATTTCTTATAATTTTGATCAGGTTATTGAATTTTTATGCGGCAGTGGTGTAGTGGTAAGAGCGCTCGCTTTGTATGCGAGAGGTTCGGAGTTCGACTCCCACCACGTCCCTGGAAGTACCGCGCTCAACTTAGTTTCTCCGCGCAGCGGCCTTGCTTGTCAAGGTTCGTGTTTCGGAGTTAAAGAGTTGAGAGAGGGTTGTACCACGAAATACAACAAAAAAATAAAAAACACAAAAAAATGAGTAGCCTCCTCGACTGTAGTGGCCCCCTCGGGCCTTGGGGAGGTGAATAATGTAAAAAAAAAAAAAAAAAAAAAAAAAAAGATATTTAAGATATTTAGCTGAAAGCCTAAATTTTTATATAAAAATTTGACATGATTTATAAAATAAATGACTTAACAACATACAGTTTTAAAATTTAAGAAATTTTTGTGTATAGTTTTTTTAAAACAACTTTAAGAACAAATTTGCTCCTGTCCAGAACATTAGTATTTGTTTATATAACATGCCAAAAAGGACATATGATTCTTGTTATATTTTATATTTAAATGCCATGTCAAAAGACTAATTTAATAGCATTATTAAATGAATAGCAATTAACTGCATTATTATAGTATTTTTATAAAGTTCTTAGGTAGTACAGTTTTGTTTATTAAAATGTTAATATGTATTAATGTTATTTATATTCCACAAAAAATGCTTTAATCTGCTGGGCAAGAGTAAGGTAGAGAACTAGGTACGTATATACAGCAGAATGTTGATATATGTTCCCATGTGTATGAATGCTTGTATGTGTTAGGGTTCCTACATAGCCTGCTTTCCTGTTGTTTTTTTTGTTTTGTTTTTCTATCCTGTTTTTAAAGCAATAGATTTTTAAGCTTCTAGCAACTTTTTTTTAAGCTTCTTTTTTTTTTTTTAATGAATATAAATTGTTTTTTGAATTTAACAGGCAATGCAAAGGCAATAAAATGGAGGGAAAAAAGTCAGAAAAATGTTTTAGTTGTTTTTAAATTAAATTGAGCATGTTCGCTTTGTTCAATAACTAACTTTTATTGCCTTAATTTAGTATCAACTATCTCTTAATAAAATGTATGTAGTTCAATAAGGTTGCTAAGTTTCTAAGTTTTAATTATTAAAGTTATTTATTAAAACAAGAAAATCTTGTAAATAAGTTTGGTCTTTTTAGTTGTATTAAATAAGAATAGCTGGATAATTGTAGTAAAAACTATGGAACCAATTACTTATTTGCTTGGGAAATCTCTTTCCAGATAAAAGTCTTAAATTAGTCTGATAAATAGGTTTCGTTGACTTTTTTTGTATTACCATTTTTTTTTTCACAGACTTAGCAATCTTGATAAAACATCTTTTTTTAAATTTATTCACTCCTAACAAAGCTGCTAGCAACCATTATTAAGTTAGGAGTTGCTAGAAGACAAAAAATATTGTTAAAGAGCAAGGAAATGGTTGACAGAAAATAAACTGTTATAGGTTGTATGAATCGGGAAAACATAAAAATAAGAGAGTTCCAAAGCATTAATGTGCAAGGAAAAAAGCTAGAAGTGTTCCTGCATGCTCTAAAAGCTTTTAGAGCATGCAAGGACATAAAGTTAAGTATGTAACTTTGCTGAATGATAAGTCAAGTGAGAATGAGTTGGAGTTGATTGAACTAAAGATAGTTTGATAGTTTGCTTGAGCAGTGACCATGATAGTATCTATAGTAAATAAAAAAAGATGGAACTTTATAATGATGGAACAGTGACTCGAACTTGGCGGATAGAGCGGGTCCAACCACATTTACAATGCATTCTTGAACCTTGTCTAGAAGGCAAACAACGTCATTATAAGAATCAGCTTAAATATTGCAACAGTATTCCATACAGGAACGAATAAAAGATTTGCAGAGGCAGATATTGGAATTAGAAATAAGAAAATAATGAGCACAGTTAAGAGTTAACTTTGAATTTTAAGTTAACTTTGAATTTTAAGTTATAATTTATTTTCTTTAATTAGTTCTTAAATATCTTGAGAGTTACTAAGTTAATTGTTTTATGAATCACAGAAAATTATCCTTGATAAAGGATAATTTAATTCCTTTTTTTAAAACAGATACTAACTTTGCATTGAATTGTATATATGGTTTCCATGAGAGGTCAGTAAATAACAATCCAAAAAGACATTAAGTAAAAGATTCAGTAAGAGAGTTGCCATTTATTAATATGGAATCTCAACAATATTGAAAAAGTTGTTTGCAGTAAATAACTGAGTTTTGTTGGAGTTGAATTCACAAGCCTTCCTTCTCTGTTGTATCAAATCTGATCTTTAAGTTTTTTTTTACAAATTTCTTAATATAGTTCACTAATTTTTTTCTGGTTAGGTTTGGTATTAGCTTGAAATGTTTTACTTTTTTTTTTCAGTTTGATAGAACAACTAGATACCAGGGCTTAAGTTTGTTTAAGGCTAAGGCTTGGTCCAAGTAGGGCCAGTTCGATAGCCAACACTAATTAAATATAATAAAAGGAAAAAAAAAATGTATTAAAGCATAATTTTTGGGTATTATTGATAAAGGGTTAAAAGTTTATAATGAAAACTGCTAACATAATTATCAGCATTATCATAATAATTATTTGGACATTCATGCCTCTGTGTTGTATAATTATTTGGACATTCATGCCTCTGTGTTGTTGTTGCAACTTTCAATTTTTATTATTTAACAATATTAAAATTATTTTTATTTACAATTCTTGTAATATTTTTTCAATTATGCTACTTTTTCAATACTTATTAATCTTAGCCCCCTCATGTTATTTAAGCACTCCTCTGCACAAACTTATAATATAATAATACCTTTAAAATAATGAAAACATTCCCTTCCCTTTTTTCCCCTCCCTCCCACTCACTCCATCCTAAATTCTCCAAAAAAATTAACTTTTTGGGGGGAATCAGGTGGTCTAAAAGTCAGTTCATTTTATCAATTACATTGTAGCATATCCTTAATAATCCCAACCACATAGTTTTTACAATTTTGAAACTTGAAACTATGAAAATAAAAATTTTCAACTTTCAATTTAAAATTTTTTTAAGAATTTTTATTCATTTTAGACAAATCATATATATGATATGATTGTATATGGAAAGTGATTTAATTTTTGCACAAAACTTTTATGACTTTTATGATTTTTAAAAACATATTTTAAAGATTTTTGTTATAAGTTAGCAATGGCATAGTTCTGTTTTTTAGGTTGGTTTGTTTTTTTAAGCTTGTTTGTTTGTTTTTTTTTTATGAAAAATTTCCTGCTTTTGGCCAATAATTCTGTAGGGACCCTGATGTATGCATCATGTATGTATGTTTGTATGTATGTATAAATATGCACATGTTAGTTAATCATGTTTGTATATGATTTAGTCAATGTAGAACTTGATGAAGGCGATGAGAGTGTTGAAGAAAATAAGACTCATTACACTGCTATTTCAAATACTCCAACTAGAATAACGTTCTTAAGTAATTCTCAAAGCAAAAGTAAAAAAAAGAATACTTCAAAAGTTCAGAAACGTAAAGTAAGTTCTTGAATTTAGATTCAATTGTCTATTGTTTGTTTTTTTCTTTCATAATTTATGACTATGCATAATTAATGGTTTCATTTGATAGTTTCTTTTCAATGTGTGTAAATTATTTAGTTTTTATTATTATTTAAAGTTCTGCAGATGAGATATTTATATCTCTCTGTAGATAATGTATTTATAGATATGCTATCAAAATAAATGTTGGGAATGATGTCAAGGTTGCAACTGCAATGCCTTTTCACCATTTTATTTTAAAATTTGAAAAATTTAGTAATTGTTATAAAATAAATAAAATTTATTCATTTAAAATAAAAAAAATTTGAAGTTAAAATAAATTAAAATAAATAAAATTATTTTTAATTAAAAAAACCTATTTTGAAAACAATTGTTGTGGCAACAACAATATAACAACAATGGTATAATATTGTAAATTATAAATTTTTAACATATTAATTTTTTTTAATCAAAAATTGGATTCAGTTTTATTTTGAGATGAGGTTCTTTTTTCTCATTTTTTTTTATTATCTTATATGATAATTGCATTTATGATTTTTTTTTTAAACACTTTAATGTTATTTATATTGTCTCTTTATACACCTTATTAACTAAAGTTATATTTATAATTAAAATTTTTATAATTATTAATTTATAAATCTTTGTAAAAAAGCAGTGCAATAATAATAAAATCTATAAAGTATATATATTGGAGTCTAAAGAAATCACATTGTGTCCGTTGTAAGATTAGATGTTTTATTAGCTAAGTAAATAAATTTGTGTTACTTAAAACTTGTTTAAAAGTTTTAGCTTTGTTTAAATGTAAACTTTTTACTCAAAGTATTACACACGTTTTTTTTATATTACTCTTGTTATGGTTGTAATATAACAATTAAAGGTTGTAACTTAAACAAGCAAAAATAGAAATGATATTCCTAAATAACTAATTGTTTTTAACAGATTATTTTACAACTCATTAAGTTTAATATCACCCTATCAGGGTGTTAGCCAGCCTGATGGCACCGCGTATAACGCGGTATTCCCAATTTGTTTAAATTTCCCAAAACTTTGTTTAAATTTCCCAAAATTGAATGACCTTTAAATAAAAATAAATGTTCCCAATATCGCAGAAACGCGGTAAAAAAAAAAATCCTGGCTAACACCCTGCCTATACTGTCACAGTCTAAAACAGGTTTTTATATTCTTTGATATGATTGTCACCATAACAATTAAAGTTTGTAACTATAACAAGCGAAAATATGAATGATGCTCAAAAAGAACTTTTTTTCTGAACTTTTTCAGAATTTTTTCTGAACTTTTCTCTTTTTGAACTTTTTTCTTTAAATTAATTTAGCCTAATAGTACCCTATACCATCACTAGTGTTATAGACAAGCTAATCAGTATGATAAGTGATAAAACTGCCTATAAAAGTCTGTTATTAGAAACAGCATCATAAACTTTCGTTGAGGGAAAAAAGTAATAAAAATACTAATATGATGATAGAGTGGAAAGTTGTTATTTGTAGATAAGGGGAATAGTTAATAAAGAATAAAATCTGTTTTCTTAACAAATACCTTATTGTGTGACATGCATTTTTTTTTTATTGCTACTGTAAACTCCCGTTCAAACTGACATTTTATGAGTTTTCGAAATATTGGAAGTAATTTTCATTCCCCATAATTTTTCCTTAACAAACTTCATCCAGTATAGGATTTTCTTTTTTTGATCTCAAAATTCAATCTCAAAGAAAATTAAGGGTATGCTACTAACAAATGATTAATAAAATATACAAGGCTTCCAAACCACCTAGAATATATCAAATTTATAGAGGAGACCTTTAGAGTTTCCTGCATGTTGGTGTCCTCCATAAGTTTAATTTTGTTTCAAGTTAAATTCCCAGTTATTCCATTTGAATAACCCTTGATGCTACCAAATAGAGTTAAATTAAATTCATTAACGTAACCTAAGGCAATTTGGGTGGCAAGGTTTTTTTGTTTTTCTAGTAACCTCAGAGTTTTATCTCTGAGGTTTTTAGAATTATCTTATATATAAATTCTCTTAGTTAAAAAGATAAATATTATAAAAAAAACTTTCTTTTATTTAAAATTGTATTTAAAAAACAAGATTTGTGTTCATTAATCTTAATGAAAATCTGCATACCACATTATTATTGTAGATGCAAACCTATTTGCATGTAATTAAAATTTTGCATTGACTTTATGGTTGTTATAAAACATTTTTTCATTTTTTAATAGCATTTCTTGAAGGGATCCCAAACCTCCGAGACATGTGTTCATATTAAAGAGAATGATTAAAAAAAAAATGTTTATGCAAAATGTTTATGAGTTCAGCAAAAAGAGCTACTTTGGATGTAAGTCAGAAAAATCATTAATATAAATAACAAAACAAAATAGGACTAATGATAGAACCTTGAGGCACCCCAGAAGTTACTGGAAATGAAGAAGAGTGTTGACCTTTCAAAGATGACTTTAATAAAGCAGTAAGAAAGAAACAGTTTTATAATCTCAAAAACTTTTCCAGATTCACCATATAAAACAAGCTTATGAAGAACCCCAGCAGGCCAAACTTCTTCGAAAGCTTTAGATATGTTGAGAACAAGATTACAAATAAATCTTGAAAATTTAGAAAAAAGGAAATATTTAGTAAAATAAAGTATTTAAGGAAAAAAAATTACACATCTTTACAAAAAAATCCAATTTGTTATTATTAAATTATAAATTCATGTCTTATATATATAATTGAAAGCATTCCAAAAGATGTAAATTTTAGAAAGATGCAAAAGGATGGAAACTTTCTTCAGAAACAGCACGCAAAAGTGTGTTATTTTAGTAAGAAGTAACATAAAAAGGCATGCAGTTATCCTAAATGTAGGCTAGTAACCCTGTATTATTAGCTAGTAACCCTGTATTATTAGCTAGTAACCCTGTAAATTAGTTAAAAACAACGTTTCTAAATCATGTTTGACTAGCAAAAACAAGGTCGTGGTAATCTTTTGCATGTTTTGTCTAGATATTCAGTTGATGAATGTACTGAATTTTTAAAAACATGTAAATTGTTTTTTTATGTTTCACAATAAATGTTTTCAATTGTTAAAATGTAGCGAAATTATATATATTTTAGTTTGTATATATTAGTTAAAATTTTCAAAATATCTTTAACCAGATTATGCACAAATTTAACAAAAATTATCAATATTAAAAAATAAAAAGCATATTAGCAGATTTTAAAGTTAGCAGATTTCAATCTACTTAAAATTTTTTTTGAAACAGACATAAAACAGCCTTATTTCCAAACTTGGACAATTGATTGATGATTACAAATTCAAATTAAGTCAATGTGATAAAACATTCAAATTTTTCTAAAATGATTTATACTTTTGTTTGTTGAATTTGTTTGTTAAAAGTTTATTTGTTGAATTTTAAATATTAAATTATTTTTTAAAAATAATTTTACTACCACTAATGCATTGAATGGCCATGAAAATGCACAGCTAAGGACACTTAAGATTGTTAGACCTAATTAGCAGTATTTATTTAATAATATCAAAATTCTCAGCCACAAGTTTTAAAGGTTATGTAAACCTTCCTTTCTTAGATCTGAAAAATATCTGATTTCTGATATTTTTCCAATCATGGCACTGCATTGACTTCTTAGAATTACTAATAAGTTATTTGATCATTTAATATTCTTCTTTAGTCAATAGAAGTCTAGTTATTTGAAAGCTTCCAATGCTTGGTCAAACAAACTTAAATCTTTAAGCTACCAGTGCATAGAGAAGAGTTTGTCGGCAGATATTTTATTGTTAAATCTATTTAATAAATTTATAGTTAATACAATTTTAAGATAATATTAATAGTTTGTAGTAGTTAAGTGATGTTTTATTCTTATATGATAAATATAACATATAATATAATTTTTTTGTTTGTTTGTTATTCAGCTCTCAGAAAGTATTTCATCTCGGAAAAAAACAAAGAGGAAACTTGAAACTTCAGGTGTGTTTTTATTTTTTGCATGATCATAATAAGTATCAGCAATATTGTAACTATGACAACACATAATTTTATTTGCATGTAATAATCATGGAAGTAATTGAAAATAGTTTTAATCCAAAAATACTGTACATTTTTATTCAGCGAAGGTATTAAACATAATTTCAACTGAATGATACCAATTAAACATTCAAGAAAAAATATTTTTTAAAGTAATGAATAACCAATAAGATACAGCATTTTGAAATAAAAAAAAGTTTTTGTGCCAAAAAAGATTTTATCCACCACGCACTTTCACAGTATCTTAGTAAATCATTATTAAGCAACTTATAAATCAAATTTAGTTAGATTTATACATTTTATTTTTTATTATATATTTTTTATTTTTGTTAGATTAATTATTAAAAATGAGAGTTGCAGAGGGAATTAGATCACAAACTGAATATGGAAGGAGGGAAAACCAAAGTGAAATACACAGTTGTACAATAAAGTTTGGATGAGTAAAAATTTGTTCAAATTAATATTTTTTGTGAGAAATTAAAAAAAAAAACTATAACAGAGGAATTTTTTTTTTATTAACAAAAATGTTAATTAAAAAAATAAAATATTGCAAACATTTAAAATGCAAGAGTAATTTAAACTGATTTGTCAAGAATTCATTACATTATCAATAAGAATGATTTTCATTACTAAATACCATGCCCAACTTGATGAATTTACAGATGTTTAATCAGCAGAGCAATTAGTGGAAAACTATTCTTGGGTATCATCTAAATTTAATTGTCATTTTTTTTCTTGTATTTTATTTAACTTTTTATTATTCTTTAATTATCTAGAAAGTGAGAAGTAAGAAGTTTTACTAATTGACAGAAGTTATACTAATAGGCAATTTTTCTAATAAACTCAAAAAAAAATTAAAAACGCCTTTATTTAAACGCTTTAAATTGCTTCCAATAAATATTTATTTGAACAAATTTGTACTTGTCCGAACTTAACACTGTAGGAGTAAGAAATACCAAACTACTAAAAAGTTGCTGATAAGTCAGAATCGATATTTTACAGTATACTAAAAATTTAGTTTACAATTAACCATATAGTATACCGTAAAATATATTGTAAAGTATACCGTAAACAAAACTTTTTTTTGGTAAAACTATATTACAAGTTTATAAAAAAGTTTATGGTTTACTTATAAAATGTTATTTTATTAAATGTTTTTGTTTGTGCATTTTATTATAATATTTAATATAAGTTACATTATATATAATATAACAAACTTATATAACAAATGCTCTTTGAATATTAATTGGTATGGTTGTGTTTATTGGTAAGTTATTTGCATTTGTATGCCTGTGAGCCATGTTATTTTCTGACATGCGATGACAATGGATGCGACACTATATGACAATATCAAAAATCTCTGTATATAAATGCAATGATAATATTTCCCTGTATTGCACACTTAAACCAATACTTACTTTTCATTTAGGCCATAAATTAATTTAGATTAATTTTACGCATTCATAGTTCCAGTAGATTTGATACATTTTTGATCATTTATATTAGTATATCAAGGGTAGTGTGTTTCTCTTTTAGGTTAGTTTTCTTACAATTTTGCTTAAGCTTTCGGTTAAAATCAACACGGCAGCAGTATTAGAAACCAACTGTATGTTTGCATTAAATAAAAAATTTGTTGTAAAATGTTAATACTCATTTGAGAGTTCACTGTGGTACATTAACTCATTGTAAAACTAATCACAAAATAGATTTTTGTTTCACTTTAAATTAAAACAAAATATTTTTGCCTGAATTAAAATAGTCGATAAACCCAGCAAAATAGTCAAACTAGCACAGGGTTAAAAAACTTTTTGTTGTTGTTTGTATTTCATATTTAACTGCTTTAAAATAAAAATAAAAAAAATATTTTTGAATTTTTTTTTGATGGGCTCTTAAAAATGACAATTAAAAAATTTGCTCCACATCCTCACTAGATGAATGAAAAAGATAAAATAAAAAAGTTTAATCAAAATTAGCGAATACTTGATAAAGATTCTTATTTTGCTACTTCGTTGTTAAGCAAACATGTTTTTTGTTTTTTTGCATAACTTAAATTTTAAAAATAAATTCTTGTGTTTTCAAATAATTTTAAATTAAAATAATAAAATAAACACACTCAAATAAAAACAAAAATATATAAATACTTAAGTAACTCAAGGACTATAACAAGATCACTTTTACTGGATAGAGGAGGCTCAGTATATATATATTTCTACCACCGTCTTTTCGTAGATCAAAAAAGTACACAAACCCCATGGATGGTGTATGAACAAATTCACAGCGGTGTAAAAGAGTTTTCAATACTGAGTCGATTCAATACTGAGTTTTCGCTCTATATTTGCATTAAATTTAAAAATCTTAAATAAACTTCAAGTATCTGGTTCCAGATTAGTAGGTAAACTGGAATCAGGTTTTAATAATGGTTTCATAACATTAATAAAATGTTGACAATCTTTCCAAAGTAAATTGTCTTGTATAATACTTATATATTCTAATTTTTTTTTTGGATAAAGGTATATGTGAAAAGGCACATGAGTTGACTTAATTCAAATGGACTAACTTGTTTTCAAGATTATGGGCAACTGATGTATGATGGCTATACCTCCGTGTTGAAACTGCGTGTGATAATGCTTGCATTTTCTTTACATTATTTTCTTGTTTATTGCGATTTTGAATCATACGAAATTGATCAACAAAAGATATTCTTTGCTTAACAAAGATTGGTGTTATGGGCTGCACAACCATTACAAAATATTTCAAGATTTTTTTCAATAATATTCCATGCAGCTCTCATGTTTGAGGGATTATCAATTACAATGCTTGTAACCTTATCAACACCAACCTCAAGAGTTACATTTTCTATGCAAGTTGCAATATTGATGCCCGACCAGTTAGCCCAATTGGTTTAATTGTCCTATTTTCAACATGAGTTAAATAATTAATGAGATGATTTGCATTAATGTTTAAAAATCCATCAGTCACTATACTTTCATATTCAGAATTATTAACATATTTTTTATTGAATATTTTTCATCATTTAATGCATCTTTATAAAGACGCCCACTAATGCATTTACTAAATGGAGGCATATATGCAGGCCTAAGATTTGCATGTTGCTTCAAGGCAGAAGAATCAGCTAATGCAATAGATACTCCTGTATGGAAAAACACCCTTGCATATGGTTTATCAATCTTTTCAGTTTCATCTTTGTTTATAGTGTCAAAGTATGAATTTAGCATAGTTCTTTTAGCAGGGTGCCTAGAAACTGAATCTTTAGAAGTTTGTGAGGCCATAATTTCATTACCTTTTGTTTCAAATAAAACGCTCTGAAATTCTCTTTTTATTTTTTTGAAGTACAATTTAACACTGTCAGAGGGTTTTTCATGTTACCTTATATGCTGCATCTATTACTAAATCAAGTATGCTGTAATTTGTTTATCAGAGTATTTGCAATAAATTTTTTCTTGTTGAACCTTTTCCAAAAATAGAGACATGTTTGTAAATTTGATCAGCCATCTTAAATGTTTCACTTAAATGCAATAGTAAATGTATGTATAATATTGTTAACAATATTAACAATAATTATAGTAATAAGTAATAGTAACTTAATAGATAATAGTAGTAACTATTATCTATTAAGTTACTAATTTTACTAAAGTAAGTAATTAATTAATAATTATAACTCCTTTCTCCGCGCAGTGGCCTTGTTCGTCAAGATTCGTGTTTTGAAGTTATAGAGTTGAGAAAGGGTTATAGCCGCAAATAAGTATCCTCCTTGTCTGTAGTGGCCTTCTCGGCCTTGAGGAGGTGATTTAATATTAAAAAAAATAAAAAATAAAAACTATTATAATATATTTTATATAACAAACTCAAAGAATAAACAAAAAATATGTTTAAAAAAAGCCAACTCATTTTTTAAAAAAAAGTAAAGAGCAGGATAAACAGCATGGTATAAAACTATAACAATTTAACAAACTAAAATAAAAAATAAAAAATACTTTATGATAATATAGTTAATATGGTATAGTAATTTAATATGTTAAGAAAATATAATAATTTGATTATCAAGTCAGTCCGAAATATTCAAATAAAAGTATATAGGTATACTAAATGGTATACTAACATTCAGTATAGAAGGCCATTGACACAGGTTTCGAAGAGAAGGTGCACCATCGTCAATTTTTAAAAAAAGTTCCCTAAATCTAGAATTTTCTTAAAAAAACAAAAAACAAACTGGAATATGTAACATAGCCCCCCCTTCCCGGTGTCGTAGGCTCTGTTACAGTTACACCAAATATATGGTTAAGTTTACCATAAAGTATAACATATATTGTAACCAGTTATCCCTTCTTATAAGCTTCTTATGGATGGAAAATTGAATCATTGCATCATCAAGCTATTTCTTGGAACAATCAGACAGAATCCTAAAACAATTGGTCTGAAAAACCTTGCTATAATGCTACAAATTGATTAAAGTTTAGAAAGGGATATTGAAACAGAAAGAATAACCTTACAAAGTGTTGGATGTAATGGCAAGGAATGCCTCATTTAAAATAGTTAACTAACTTCACATACCCCCACAATCTCCAGATTTTAATCCCATCTTGGGGTGAATTAGGTAGAAGAGTTAGGATGCAAGATGTGAAAAACTTGGAACAACTAAAATTAGTAATTACAGAAGAGTGCTCAATCACTTCATAAATTAAAAAAAAAAAATTAGTTTGTATTATGAAGAACAACTTACATAAGGTCTATACATAAGGCTTTCGATGGACTCAAAATAATAGATTGCTAAGGAATTAAGTTCTAATAACAATTTTAGGTAATTTTTGTTAAGGGGGCATCCATAAAGTATGTATGCAGTAAAAACACTTATTTGGGACTCTCTTTTTTTATGCAACTGTATGCTTTTAACTACCCCCCCCCCTCATCCTTCTGTGTATGCG